CTATGAGCAATTCTTTGCCCTTACCCAGGAAGGCACAGTGGCAGATTACCGGGACAGGTTTGAGTATCTGGCTAGTAAGCTGGATCATATCTCGGAGTCATCCCTGGAAGGGAATTTCATGAAGGGGCTGAAACCAGAGATAAGAACAGTAGTCAGTGTTGGAGCCAAGGAGTCTCGGCAAGGCCATGGAGTTGGCCCAGTTGGTGGAGGACCAGAAGAAGTCTAAAAGAGGGACTCGGGGAAACCATTCAGGGGGGTCGTACAGAACGACGACCACATTCTTACCAGCAAAAGGGGCAGGCCCCGAGAGCATGAAGGAAGCACCCAAGGAGAAGATGGGAGGGGGAGGTAACGGTGGACCGTTCAAAAAGCTGACTGAGAAGGAGCTACAGGAGAAAAGGGCAAAAGGGGTGTGCTTCAGGTGTGAGGAGAAGTACATGCCGGGGCATAGGTGCAAGGACCGATCTCTTCAGGTTCTCCTCGTTTGTGAAGATGAGGAAGACGAAGAGGGAGGTGGGAATGACCCTGAGGTGGAGGAGGAGGAGAAGTTGCATCTGGACGTAGCAGAAGTCTCTCTGAACTCAGTAGTGGGACTCACTTCGAGTCACACTATGAAGGTGAAAGAAGAGATCTCTGATTGTGAGGTTGTGGTGTTAATAGACAGTGGAGCAACCCATAATTTGTTTTCCACCCAGATTGTAGATGTATTGGGGATGGAGCTAGTGGATACCGAAGGTTACGGGGTAATGATGGGCACCGGGAAAGTGGAGATGGGTCAAGGAGTCTGTCGAGGAGTAGTATTGAAGATTCAAGGGATCCATGTAAAGGAAGACTTCCTTCCCTTGGAATTGGGTAGTACAGATGTCATCCTTGGGATGAAATGGCTATAGAGATTGAGAGAGACCAAAATCAATTGGGGAACATTGAGGATGGAGTTGGTGGTTGGGGGAAGAAAGAGGACGATTCAGGGTGATTCCGGGCTGACCAAGTTAGGGGTTTCTCTCAAATCCCTCATCAGAACCATTTAAGAGGAGGGTGGAGACTACTTAGTAGAGTTGCACCGCCTGGAAGGGGTCAGATTGAAGGAGGAAGGAAATGTTCCCTCTGCAGTACAGCCGCTCATACACCAGTTCAACGAGGTCTTTCACCTGCCCCAGGGTTTACCTCCTCAGAGAAAGTTGGAGCATGCCATTACTTTGAAAGAGGGTGAGACTCCGATTAGCGTCCGTCCTTACCGCTACCCACAGATTCAGAAAGATGAGATTGAAAAGCTGATCCGGGAAATGCTAGAGGCGGAGATTATCAGACCCAGCAACATACCTTTTTCTAGTCCAGTCCTCCTGGTCAAGAAGAAGGATGGGAGTTGGAGATTTTGTGTGGATTACAGGGCTCTGAATAAAGGCACTGTACCAGACAAATTCCCAATTCCTGTGATTGATGAGCTATTAGACGATCTACATGGTGCAGTGATGTTTTCTAAGCTGGATTTAAAATCCGGATACCACCAGATCAGAATGAGGGAGGCAGATGTTCCAAAGACAGCGTTCAGGACGCATGAAGTGCATTATGAATTTCTGGTAATGCCCTTTGGTTTGACTAACGCTCCTGCAACATTTCAATCCTTGATGAATCGGGTATTCAAGCAGCACCTTAGGAAGTTTGTCTTGATCTTTTTCGATGACATCCTGGTGAACAGCAAGACTGTGGAGGAGCACTTGGAACATTTGAGAGTGGTATTGGAAGTGCTTCAGGAGCACCAGTTGAAAGCCAACCTAAAGAAGTGCAGCTTTGCTTAGGCAAGTGTGGAATACTTGGGACATGTGGTATTTCAAGGAGTGGCAGCGGATCAAACTAAAATTGAGGCAATGCAGAAATGACCGCTACCTAGGAACCTTAGGGAACTGAGGGGTTTTCTAGGATTGACTGGATACTACAGGAAGTTCGTGAAGGGATACAGTACCATTGCCTGGCCGTTGAAAGAGAGCTGATGGACATTGTCTTGGCAATCCAAAAGTGGCGGCCGTATCTCTTGGGAAGACACTTCATCGTACGGACTGATCAGAGGAGCTTGAAGTATTTGTTAGAGCAAAGGATGGTGACCGAAGAGCATCAGAGGTGGTTATCCAAACTATTAGGCTATGATTTTGAGATCCAATATAAGCCTGGTTTGGAGAATAAGGTGGCCGATGCTTTATCCAGATGCCTTGGGGAGATTCAGGAGTTGGTTATGTCGTCGCCATTGATAGTAGACTGGGGGCCATTAAAGAAGAAAGTATGTTGAATGAGGAGCTGAGGAAGATCAGAGATGATCTGGAGAAGGACAAGAGTAGTCATCCTGGTTACTACATTGAAGGGGGGAGACTATTGTATCAGGGGAGGTTCGTGATGCCACGAACTTCCATACACATCCCCCACCTGTTGCAGGAATTTCATGGCAGCTCAATTGGAGGCCACTCAGGAGTTCAGAAGACATATAGGAGGCTGGCAGCAGAACTCTATTGGAAGGGGATGCATAAAGATGTGGAGGAGATGGTGGCGGGTTGTGAGGTCTGCCAAAGAAACAAATACATGGCCATGGCTCCAGGAGGTTTACTACAACCATTGGCACTTCCAAACAGAGTTTGGGAGGAAGTGTCCATGGATTTCATCGATGGCTTAACCAGGTCAGAAGGATTCACGGTCATCCTGGTGGTGGTGGACAGACTCAGCAAATATGCACACTTTATTCTCTTACGGCATCCATAAACTGTGGTCAGTGGCTGTGGCATTTATCAGGGAGGTGGTCAGACTGCATGGGGTTCCTGAATCTATTGTGTCTGATCGAGACAAAGTATTCCTCAACCAGTTTTGGAGAGAGCTGTTCAGGATGCAAGGCACGGTCCTAAGGAGAAGCACTGCCTACCATCCACAGACCGATGGGCAAACGGAGGTGGTGAACCGAAGTTTGGAGACCTACTTGAGGTGTTTTGCTTCAGAAACGCCGTGGATGTGGGCAAAGTGGCTGCCTTGGGCTGAATACTGGTACAATACGTCGTACCATTCTGCCTCTCAGATGACCCCATTTAGAGTGATGTATGGAAGGGATCCCCCACACTTAGTGCACTACGGGAAAGGAAGTACACCATCCTCGACAGTTGAGCAGTACCTGGAGGAAAGGGACAAGGTGCTGAAAGAATTAAAGAAGCATCTGATGAGGGCCCAACAGATCATGAAGAAGCAGGCGGATTCACACAGGAGAGACTTGCAGTTTGAAATGGGAGAGAAGGTATTCCTAAAACTACGACCCTACAGGCAAAGGACTGTAGCGAGAAGAAGGAATGAGAAATTGGCGCCAAGATATTTTGGCCCCTACGAAGTTTTGGACAAGATCGGAGCAGTGGCGTATCGTCTGAAGTTGCCCTCTTCCGCTACTATACACCCGGTGTTCTATGTGTCACAGCTGAGGAGAGCGTTAGGGAAACAGGTAGCTAGTGCAGAACTACCAGCATCTTTGATAGAGGAGTTGGAGGCGGTCATGGAACCTATGGAGCTGCAAGGAGTGAGGGTTGATAAAAAGGGAAACAAGAAGGTGTTGATTAAATGGAAGGATCTTCCCGATTACGAAGCCACTTGGGAGCCTTATGAAATTGTGAAGCAACAGTTCCCCGATTTTCACCTTGAGGACAAGGTAAGTTTTTGGGAGGGGAGTACTGTTAGGCCGGCCCAGGAAGGGTCGGCTGGACCGGTCCACGTTTACTCCAGGCGGAAGCCTGGCTGGGCGGAAACGACAAGGGGGGCGGAACCCCATTTGGGCCCCACTTGGGGTTAATGCGATTTTGGGAGGGAAATTTTTGAATGAGGGGTTGTTTTAGGTATTTTGTAATTGTCCTTTGTCTTTAATTAGGAGTTATGGTGAGAATTGGCTCTCATCTTGAATTGGAGTTTTCTCCTTGAGATCTAGGGTTTGCTTTGGGCTCTTAGCGTTGCCGGAGATAGTGGAGAGTTTTTCCTTCCTCTCGAATTGAAGGAAAATTGTATCTTGGAAGTGCTTTTTTTATCTATTCTTGAAATAAAAGTGTTTGCTTCGTTTCCCTACGATTTTTCCTTACGTTTCTCTCAGTTTTTCCACTGTTTGGGCTGAGTTTTCGCTGTGGACAGCAGAATTTCCTTGCTTAGGTACTTGATTTGGGTTATAGGTTTACTTGTGAATACAAGCATTACCTATCAGAGACCTATAATATTTTATGGCACAAAATGTTGGAAATTAAAAAAGAAACGTAAAATTAAGTTAAGTGCTGCAGAGATGAAAATGCTTAGGTGGATGAGTGGCTTCACTTTTAGAGACATAATATGAAATAAGTATATAAATGAAATGGTTGAAGTAGCTTTAGTAGCAGATACAATTAGAGAAAGTCGCCTTAGATAGTTCGGTCATATAAAATGTTTGTCTTCTGAAGACCAGGTTAGGAGAGTAGATGTGTTAGATTTAACCTATGTTAAAAAAAATATATAGATAAACCTAAAATTGGTTAGAGAATATTAGAAAGTACATTTTTATTAGATTTAAATGAGAATTTAAACCTCAATAGGACACAACGGAGAAAAAATGATTCATGTAACCGACCCCACATAGTGAGATAAATGTTTGATGTTGTTGTTGTGGTAAATGACCCACTCTCGCTCGTCACACAAATATTAGTTAAAACATACATTTGAAGCAATAGTAGAAACTAGATCCCAGCACAAATACAGTCACAATGAAAATAAAATATTAGAATGAAGTTTTGTATAAGAAAATGTCAAGGGATGACTACACTATTTAAAGGGTTTCAATGACGACTTCAGATAATTTGGGCAACCGTAGTTTAATATCTACTGGTCAGATTCTCCAACAAGATTTCTATGCCACTCAGGGCATAACACTCCAACGGTTGCATCTTCATATTGAGGTAAATAGAAGACAAATAATTTCGAAGAAAATCGTGTGGTTAAAAGCAAAATATCACCAATGATTCACATACCTGCAATCTCAAGTAAGTAAAAATTGGAGCCTCCAGCAAGCGTATCAATTTGTCCAACTGCATCAAGAACTTGACATTTATGTCTTCCTCCCCAAGTGATTGAATTACAGCACTAGCGTGGTGGTAGGCCTTTTATTATCAGAAATAGATAATTAAAACAAATTAGACTAATTTCAAAGAGAACAAGCAGTATAACAGGTACATCCTTACCTGAGCAAGCAGACACAAACTTATCATTCCCATTGGTGAATGGCACCAAGAGGAATACAGACAGAGAAATAAATCTTTGCCAGCAGGATTCATCAACGATTGTTTTAGGAGATTTCTCAAACTGAACAATTCAGTCGAGGTGAGGAGAATCAAAGTCAGAGCCTGCAATCACAAAGGGCTCTAATTTCATACTTTTTATTCCCATTCCCTCCTCCCTCTCTAAGTCAGTACAAAAAGGTGTAAGATGTGATAATAGATAAAACCTGAACCATCGTCGATGCAAAATCAAAATCTTTTTCTGCCTCAAGAATTTCTGAAAATTTCCGGTAGACTCGTTCAGCATTCAAAAGAAAACAAAGTTGACGAACTATCATAATACCACGCCTGGACATGTATCACATCAAATATATAAAACAGCATAATTATAGACTAAACTTTGTCTTCTATGTAATTAAAAGAAAAAAATAATATTCTTAAAATTTTATTAAAGAGAAAATAACATACTTCTCAAGAAGCACGTGATTGGAGCGGAAGGTGTGAATCAGGAAAACTACAAGATGGTGAAAATGTTGAGCATCTTCTGCTATGCATGCATGAACTTCCAGCACTAGAAGAACAACCTGGAAATAAGCAATAAGGCTGTTAATAAGTTGGTGGGAAAAAATATGTTCAAAATGAAAAAGCAGCTTTCTATAAAACTGTACACAACCTATGGTAGTCGATATCATGTCCTCACTTGCATCAAATTATTTAGTGTGATCATATCAATACGCTAAATATGACATTTATTTTTTGTAATCTTCGATAAAATTTAAAATTTTCATCCAAGGAAAATTAGTTCAGATGATGAATATATGCTACTCTTAAGTTTGAACGATCAATTATAGTGGGCTTTTTAGCTTTTTGTAATTTTCGTAGTTTTGTTTTTGAAATTTTTTGGAAGGGTGGTTAGATTTAGATGGCATTACCTCTAATTATGATATTATTTCGAATGTGTAATCATCGAGAAGAGAACCCAAAGTAATTTACATTAAAATTTGAGAACATTTTTATAACAGAGATTTCCTATTCTCCTCTAATGAGATTTACCATCAACAGAACTGTCATCGAAAAAAGTGGCTTAAACTTAAAGTGTTTTATGATTTGAAATGAGATTTTTGGAATGCACCATCATAAGGGTATAAATGCAATTGAACTTTATTGCTTTGAACCTTGTTGACTTTGCCTTCTTGCTTGCATAGTAAGAGGTCCTAATATTAGAACTTGTGACTATGCCCTACAAAAGAAGTGATCTTGAGATTTTTATTTTTAAATGATTTTCCCCACTAGGTCTTGAAGGCCTTCTGTGATTTAATTTCGATTGGATGAGAGGTGAAGAATTTATTATCACTCTTTTGTCACATGAACAATTATTAAGATGCAACCCTATCAACTCTACTCTTGCCACGTGGACGACATGATATGAGGATTTATATGGTTGGTTACCAGACTCCACTCTGGACATCTGACAGATTAAGCCTAAAAATTGGGACTTATGATCCAAGACTATAGGCATGTTAGCCAATATGAGTTTATTTAAAATTTTCTAAATTTTGAGAGTTACAAGAGTGCAGATCATGTCAACTCCACTTTGGACTTATGGCACAGCCCTGTGTATAGGGTACCGATTTGAACTTCTTTTCGAACTACTATAATTTGGAGAAGTCAATGAATCATTAGCCTTGTCGACTCATACCTTATTTTCTGCAAGATTAGGCTCAAAGATTCAGACTTACAACCTTGTCTTATAGATAGGGGAGTGCAGTTGAGCACATGCGAGAAGCATAACCATGAGTTTGAATTTAAAATAGAGTTTACAAAGTTTCTAGAGCAATATACATGCTTTATGTGCGATGTTATTTGATTTTTATTTGTTTTGAGGAGTGCACACAGCTTTTTGACGTTTTTCTTAAATTGATCATGATATTAGCACACTTGTTAGGTCTACTCACCATGTGTTAAGCCTTCTCACCATGCCAAAAAAAAACATATATGGATGGTGTACGAGACACTACATCCAGGCTATCAAAAAAAGGCATGCATGAGCACCTACAAGTGAAATTACAAAACAACATTTTCCAGAGGTGCTAAGAAAGGCACCCAAATTTCACTCATTGCAATGAACAAGATGTTGTGGGGTTTAAAGAGTGACAAGGTTAGTGATGAGGACATAAGATTTCGACACATGTACGATCGTCGAAGACGCAAATCGACGGCTACGATCCAGAGCCTTTATTTCTGATTTATGTTATAATTTATTTATTATCGCATTTTATTTTCCTAATTTATCCCTGTGGGTATTGAGTCGCTTGTGTAGCCCAAAGGGCATTTGTGTCATGTAGCTTTGTTTCTATTTCGGCCTATTTAAAGAAGGCCTCATGTATTGTAAGAGTTAGTTGATGAATGAAAATTTTCTCATTGTTGATCTCTTTGTGAGTTCATAAAATTTCTCAAAGATCTCTTTGTGAGTTCTTGGCGAGGTAGATCGTGGATCTCTTGGTGAGTGCTAGATTTCCCTTTTCCCCTTACTACTCTCTCTTTCTTCTTCTCCTTAAAGAAAACCCTCACCCCCTCAAACTACCTTGGATACCCGAGCCCTCCCCTCCTTACCGCCCGCCTCCTTGGGACGGCCAAGCCGCCGGCCTCCAACCCTCCACCTGCTGGCCATCTCTCCACCACTCCATCATATTTGAAATTCAAATTTCGAATTTCAAATTCTTTCCATATAGGGAATCCCATATTAGGAAAGTTTCGTTCATGAATCCAATTTCAACAAAAATCAAATTGGAGTTATTATTTTTCTTTCCTAATATTCACTACCTATTTGGAAACTCCTCTACCTCCTTCCCTAATCCCCTCCCTCATGCATGATGCCGCCGGCCCCCTTATTGGGCTTCCCCCATTGAATGCTCAATTACTCCTCCACCCTTATTTGAAATTCAAAATTGATTTCAAATATTCTCCCTCCAATTTCACTTGAGCTGAAATTAATTTCAGCTTTTATTCACTTCCCCCTAATCCCTCTCCCTCTCGTCATGCCGACGGCCCCTAGGGGGTTCAAACATTAATTTCCCCCTCAATTGCCCATTCACACTTGGTATTCAAAATTCAAATTCATTTAATCTCCCCCCAATTCTCCTAAAACTGAAACTAATTTCAGTTTTTTATTTTTTTTTTCTAAACCCCTCAAACCCTAAGTGGATCTACCCGCCCCTTCCCCTATTCTTCTCTCTCTCTCTCTACCCGAGCCCACCTCCTCCCCTCTTTGTTTGGCCGAGTTCCGCCAAGAGAAGACTCTTCTACCGCCAAATTCATCCACACCGCAAGGTCATCTCATAATCATAAATGGACGATCCGGAGCGTGATCACGGCTTTGCATACGATCATCAAGGCGACATCGACGTCATCCGATCGCCGTTCTTTGACGTCGGATTCGGCTTCGACCACACCGTCGAGGATTACTTGAACCGTATTCTTCCCACCCTCGTGGACGTCATCGACGAGCAACTTCCAGCATACGATTGGATCATCAACGGACGTCCACCATCTTCCCCAAATTCCACTTCCTCCGCGGCGGCTAGCCCCCTCGGCATTACTTGTCTAATAGTGGCATTGTTGAGTTTGTGCGCCATCCTCTTCCACTAACCGAGTGAATCCAAGAGTGAAAGTGAGGGACTTCGAGGTGAAGGATCTATATCTTAAGCCTTAGATTTTTGTTAAGAGCCATTTGCTTTATTACTTATTTATTGGATTAATTTTGTTTGTTTCAGGTTGCTTCTAAATGTAAATGATTGACATTGCTTAGTTCTTCCATGGAAATTTCTTACGATCTATCTGGGAACGCATTTGTTTAAAATTAGAAAGCAAGTTCATAAGTATTAATTTCTAACAAGCAATTCTTGCATCGTATTACATCAGTTAGATTTATATATCTCGTGCACAAGCTTGACAATGACAATTTTGTGATGAAGCAAGTACCAAGAAGAAAAAAATTTGGCACATTTTTTATCTTCTCTCTCTCGCTATATATATAGATCAATTTTGTATCTGAATTCCATCAATTTACACTTGAGGGACCATTTAGGATCAAATTGATAGAGAAAATAGAGAGGTGGATGCCGCAAGGATTGCGAGGGTTGGGTTGTAGAGGGTGGCCAATGGATTATGTGGATGGAGATCAGGAGGTCATTGGGCAAGTAGGAATGGCGTGAAGGAGTGTGATGCCGATAGAAAGAGGAGTGGAGAAAGGAACGGGTATCAACGAGTTGCTATGTTGAACATGTAAAGAAGGTCACTCATGTTGGGGAGAGGAAGATTTGTTGGGGTGCTTAAGTCTTGAGCTTGGTGGTTGGCAAGTGAAGGGTCTTTGTAGTTCATGTATTTTATATGAGATCATTGTGAGTAGAGCGTAGTTTTACCCTATAACTTCCTTAATATTGAAATATTGAGGTAGCATCTACTAACTCTATCTGCGATGAAGGAATTTCTTAGCTTACTAAACTTTTTAATATTGTTTTGAAGACTAAAAAGATATCAGATGAGTGGAGAATGAGTGTGTTAATTCCTATTTTTAAGAATAAATGTGATGCACATGAGTGTGTGAATTATAGAGGAATTAAGTTAATGTGTCGTACTTTAAAACTATGGGAGCGAGTTATGGAGTATAGGTTGCGGCGTGATACTAATGTTTCTCAAAATCAATTTGGATTCATGTCGGGTAGGCCTACTATGGAAGTCATACATTTATTGAGACGTTTGATGGAGAAATATAGATAGAATAAGGAGGATCTACATATGATATTTATTGATTTAAAGAAAGCATATGATAAAGTTCCAAGAGAAGAGCTATGGAGAGTACTTGAAAAAAAGGAGTTAATAACGCTTATATTCAAATCATTAAAGATATGTATAGAGAGCTATTAGTTGTGTTCAAACACAAGGTGGTTTGACCAAGTATTTTCCTATTTCAGTGGGATTACATCAAGGATCAGCATTAAGCCCTTATCTTTTTTCTTTAGTCATGGATGTTCTCACTAGACATTTGCAAGAGGATGTACCTTAGTGTATGCTCTTTGCTGATGATATACTTCTTGTTGATAAGACTAGAGAGGTTGTTGAAGGTAAACTTGAAATATGGATGTCAACCTGATGTAGACAAAGGGGGGGTCAAATCAAACCTAAAAATTTAATTTTTGACTTCTCTAGCTCATTAATGTCAAGTAGGGAGTTAGCTCATTATGAGCTATTTCTTTTAAGTTCATTTATTGAACTAAAAGGTAGCTCATTTATTGAAGCTCGTTATGGTGGATCTTGACCCTTTGGTTCCCGTGGATGGCTACTGGGTTCCCGTGCCTTGGCCCCATGATTCCCACGGTTGGCTCTTGGTTTCCTGCGGCTGGCTCTTGGTTTCCCATGCCTTGGCCCCTTGGTTCCCACGATTGGCTCCTTGGTTCCCTGCTGGACTGTTCGGTTTTGCAGATTTCTGCTTGGTTCCGGTGGCCTTCTCCTCTCTATTTCCTGTACCAAATGGGGCTGTTGTGCTGGGCTGTATTTTCGTGGTTGTTGGGGGCTTTTTGCCGTG